TTTACAGAACTCTGCTCAATTTCTTTATGGAGAACCAAATGGAAATCTAACCCATGATTGTATACAATGTATAGAACATCAATCCAAAATTCGGGAAGACCTAGAGGAAGAAGAGTTACAAGAAGGAGAAAAATTATATATAGATGGGTCCTCTGGGTTGTTGATGGGAAGCGTAGGTCGGGATATGCACTAGTTAATGGGAAAACATTATCAGTAGTCAAATCAGGGACGTTAGATAAATCTTGGTCTGCTCAGGCGTGTGAATTATATGCCCTATTGAGGGCGCTAACATTACTTAAAGATAGGAAAGGGACTATATATACTGACTCTAAATATGCCTATGGGGTAGTCCACACCTTCGGGAAGATATGGGAAGAGAGGGGGCTAATAAATTCACAAGGAAAAGGGTTGGTTCATGAATATCTAATCAAGCAGACACTACAAGCTTTGAGAAAACCAAAGCAAATTGCGATTGTACATATAAGAGGTCACCAAAAGGGAATGTCCAATCACATAAGAGGAAACAACTTGGCTGATCAGGAAGCCAAGAAAGCAGCTTTGCTGATAGTTAAGGAGTTAGAGACCAAGAAGCCTAAAGAACAAAAACAATGCAAAAAAAATTTTACTACTAAGGAAAAGGAAAGATTGTCGCAAATGGGTATTGAAGAAAAAGATGGGAAGTGGTTACTTCCTGATGGTCGGGAAGCACTACCAAAAGGATTCGCCTGGAGGGTAATGAGAGAATTTCATAGAAAAACACACTGGGGAATTCACAGAATCACAGAATCACAGAATCACCTGGGTTGGAAGGGACCTCAAGGATCATGTAGTTCCAACCCCCCTGCCTAGCAGGGCCACCAAACATCCACATTCAGATCAGGTTGCCCAGGACCCCGTCCAACCTGGCCTTGAACACGTCCAAGGACGGGGCATCCACAACCTCCCTGGGCAGCCCGTTCCAGGGCCTAACTACTCTCCTTGTGAAGAACTTCCCCCTAACATCCAACCTAAATCTTTCCTCCTTCAACTTTGATCCATTTCCCCTAGTCCTGCTGTTGTCAGCCCTTCTGAAGAGTTTACTCCCCTCCTGGGTGTAGGTTCCCTTCAGGTATTGATAGGCTGCAATGAGGTCGCCCCGCAGCCTTCTCTTCTCCAGGCTGAACAAGCCCAACTCCCTCAGCCTGTCCTCATAGGGGAGGTGCTCCAGCCCCCTGATCATCTTAGTCGCCCTCCTCTGGACCCTTTCCAAGATCTCTATGTCTTTCTTGTACTGAGGGCTCCACACCTGGACACAGTACTCCAGGTGGGGCCTCACAAGAGCCGAGTAGAGAGGGACAATCACCTCCCTGTCCCTGCTGACCACCCCTCTCCTGATGGAGCCCAGGATCCCATTTGCCTTTCGAGCTGCCAGAGCACACTGCTGGCTCATGTTAAGTCTCTCGTCCATCAGGACCCCGAGGTCCTTCTCTGCCGAGCTGCTCTCAAGGACCACTTCTCCCAGCCTGTACGGGTGCCTGGGGTTCTTCCGGCCCAAATGCAAAACCTTGTACTTTGCCGTGTTGAACCTCATTAGGTTCACCCGAGCCCAGCCCTCAAGCCTGTCGAGGTCCCTCTGAATGGCATCCCTTCCTTCCACCATATCAACCGCACCACTCAGCTTGGTGTCGTCAGCAAACTTGCTGAGGGTGCACTCAATTCCTTCATCGATGTCATTAATAAAGATGTTAAAGAGCACCGGTCCCAAGACAGACCCTTGGGGGACACCACTTGTTACCGGCCTCCACCTGGACATAGAGCCATTGACCACCCTCTGTCTGCGGCCTTTCAACCAATTGCTTATCCATCGGGTCGTCCACCCATCAAATCCACTTCCCTCCAATTTGGAGATGAGGATGTGGTGGGGGACCATGTCAAAGGCCTTGCTCAGGTCCAGGTAAATGACATCGGTCGCCTTCCCTTCGTCCACCAATGCCGTCACTCCATCATAGAAGGCCACAAGATTAGTCAGGCATGACCTTCCCTTGGTGAAGCCGTGCTGGCTGTCTCGGATCACATGCTCATTCTTTATGTGATCCAGCATGTTGTCCAGGAGGATCTGTTCCATGATCTTCCCAGGCACGGAGGTGAGACTCACCGGCCTGTAGTTCCCCGGGTCCTCCCTGCTCCCCTTCTTGTATATGGGAGTGATGTGACCCTTCCTCCAGTCATCCGGGACCTCACCTGACAGCCACGACTTCTCAAATATGATGGAGAGCGGCTCGGCAACCACCTCAGCCAGCTCCTTCAGGACCCTGGGATGCACGCCATCTGGCCCCATAGACTTGTATTCATTCAGTCTAAGGAGGTACTCTTGGACTTGCTCTGCCCTTACAGTGGGGAGGGATTTACCTCCTTGGTCCCCACATAGAGGTTTGGGGATGCAGGGTTCATGGACGTGAAGAAGACTAGAATCCTGGCCACCAGTGAAGACCGAGGTGAAGAACTCATTCAGCACCTCAGCTTTCTCTTCATCTGTTGAAGCCAGTTCTCCTTTTAAATTTACCAAAGTAGGTACGCCCGTTTTGGCCTGTCTCTTCTGGCCAATGTACCTGTAGAAGGTTTTCTTATTGTTTTTCACGTCCCTTGCCAAGTTCAGTTCTGCCTGCGCCTTGGCTTCCCTGATCCCACGTCTGCAAGTCCGGACGGCATCCCTGTACTCTTCCCAGGTGACACAGCCTTGTTTCCAGAGCTTGTACACCCCTTTCTTCGCCCTCAGTTCTCTCAGCAGGTCCTTGCTGAGCCATGCCGGTTTCCTACCTCGCCTGCCCACTTTCTTATTCAGAGGAATGGAGACCTCTTGTGCTTCCAGGAGGGCATCTTTGAAGAGCCGCCAGCTCTCCTCAACATCCCTGTCTTTGAGGGCAGCGCGCCAGGGGATCTTGGCCAGCAATCCATTGAGTAGCTTGAAGTCTGCTTTTCTAAAGTTCAGTGTCCTGATCCTGCTCTTTGCCAAGCCCACATCGCTTGAGATCACAAACTCAACCAGGGCGTGGTCGCTGGAGCCCAGGCAGCCTCCAACCTTGACGCCTTTGATGATCTCCTCGGCGTTGGTAAGCAGCAGGTCTAGCAGCGCTTCACCTCTGGTCGGTCTGTCCAATACCTGAACCAGAAAGCTATCGTCAATGGATTCCAAGAGCCTTCTGGAGCTCTTGCAGCTCGCCATGTGGTTTTTCCAACAGATGTCCGGATGGTTGAAGTCCCCCACCAGGACAAGAGCCCGTGAGCCAGACATCTCACGCATCTGGAGCAAGAAAGCCTCATCAGCAGCCTCCCCTTGATCAGGTGGTCTGTAGTATACCCCTAACACTAGCTGACCTATATTAGTCCCATCTCTAATCCTAACCCACAGGCTCTCAACCTGTTCCTGACTGTTTCTCGTAGGGAGCTCCTCACAGTTTATCCAATCTCTGACATAGAGAGCAACTCCCCCACCCCTCCTACCTCGCCTATCTTTCCTAAAGAGTCTATAGCCGTCGATGGCAGTATCCCAATTGTGGGAGTCATCCCACCATGTTTCTGTGATAGCAACAAGGTCATAACTTTCCAAGTGCATCACAGTTTCGAGTTCCTCCTGCTTGTTACTCAGGCTGCGTGCATTGGTATAAAGGCACTTCAGCCGGGCTATCCGTCTCGCCACCTTTATAAGGGATCTAGGATCCCCTAGAACAGCAGCATCCCCAGCATCCCCCTGCCCTAGTCCTTCCCTATGCACTCTGCCGTCATTGCCCATGGAGTTTGGTACAAGCCCTCGAATGACCCATTCAACTCCAGTAGCCCTTATTTTGTCCCCTTCCCCCTTCATTCCTAGTTTAAAGACCTGTCAATGAGTCCAGCTAATTCTTCAGCTAAGATCCTCTTACCCCTCAGGGACAGGCTGCATGCGTCAGCAGCCATCATGCCAGGTGCAGTGTAAATTGCCCCATGGTCAAAAAAGCCGAAATTCTTGCGCCTGCACCAGCTCTTAAGCCATCTATTGAAGAGTTGGGTATTTTGGATCCTCCCTGTACCTTTCCCTGACACCACGGGGATAGAAGAAAAGACCACTTGCACCCCAGATCCTTCAAGTATTCGCCCCATTCCCCTGAAGTCTTTCAGAATTGCCCAAAACTGGGAGATAAAAATATTTATTGGTGATAATAGACCATCTGACGTATTTTGTAGAAGCTTTCCCAGTAGCCAGAGCCACTGCCCAAACAGTGGTAAAAATATTATTTGAAAACATCATCCCCAGATGTGGGAACATGGAGGTGATAGATTCAGACAGGGGACCTCATTTTATTTCCAGAACAGCGAAGGAGGCCTTAGAACCACCTGGAGTTAAGTGGGAATTCCACACTCCATGGCACCCCCAAAGCTCAGGGAAAGTAGAGAGGATGAATGGAGAAATCAAGAAACAACTTACTAAATTAATGATAGAAACTAAGATGTCCTGGATTAAATGTTTACCACTAGCACTATTAAATGTAAGGACCCAGCCTAGGACAGGTACAGGCCTTTCTCCTTTTGAAATGTTATATGGGATGCCGTATGACTTAGAATTAGTGGTAGAACATGCAAAGATTGAGGAATACTCCTTACGGGAATATATGGTGGAGTTAATGAAAAGGAGGAACAAGCTGAGAAAGAGAGGCCTGATTGTACAGAGGCCGTCCCTAAATATGGCAATCCATCAGTTGAAACCAGGAGATCGAGTATTGATTAAGAATTGGAAGGAAGTATCCCTCACCCCTAAATGGGAGGGGCCCTTTACTGTTCTACCACCACAGAAACTGCTGTCCAAACAGCCGAACGGGGATGGATGCCCGTAAATCGTGTAAAAGGACCCACTCCGGAGGATCAGTGGGAAGTGTCTGAAAATCCCAGGGGACTGAAACTCAAACTGAGAAGAAAGATCTAAAGAGCACAAATGAGACTGTCTGTAGCTCAACCTTGTGAGTACTGACTGACTTGGATAACTGGCGGATCCGTTATACCTATGGATATCTCTTCCGAGATACCAGGACCTGTAACTGAGGTCAAAGTTTCTACAGAGATTATTTAGAGCCTATGATGGGACACTTTTGAAACAGGAATTGGCCCAAAGGAGCGATTGGTGCGCTTAATGGAGGTAAAACCTTGAGAGCCTGGAAGTGGTTGATTGAGAGTTGAGTAAACCTATAAGGGGCAAAAAGAGGGACCCCTGAAGAATACAACTGCTGCCAAGAAGATGGAGCACCTCACTGCTCTAAGCAAAAGAGCAGGCGAAGGAGGCAGAGGCATAAAATGGTGGGGATGTAGGCCAAGAGGCCCCCTCAGAGGTAAAACCCCAGACTCCCACTCCCAGGACCAATGCCTCTTAAAGCGTGAATATGACACCCAGATCCATTGGGCGCTCAAAACTTTGGAGGAAAGGAGGAATCCATTTAAACACCATAAGGATCCACCAGTTATCCAATTCTTATATGGTATTGTATGCATTGTGGGGTGGGTGTTGGTACCAATCCAGGCAGAAAGTAACCCACACCAGCCCTTTAAATGGTCTCTAATCAGGTGGGAGGATCAGCAAGTGATTCAAATTAAAGAGACTGCAGGTCCACCCAGTTTTATACCTACTTTATGTGAGCTTGTACCAATTAAACCACACCTGAATCTTTTAGGATTTTATTTTTGCCCGAGTTCTAACCCAGGAAAAGGATATTGCAATTGGCCAGAGCACTATTATTGTGCCTACTGGGGTTGTGAGACCATAGCCTCTGACTGGATAGGTGGGAAGGGTAAAGATCCCTTCCTATCCGTGGGTTGGGGAGCCACAGGGTATACATCTCCTCATCGAGATTCCAGTGGAGGCACCATCTCCCTAGGGAATTGCAAGCATATTTACCTCAACATAACTAAACCTGAAAATCCAGGCTAGACAATGGGAAAAACTTGTGGAATGAGATACTGGGAACCAGGTACCGACCGAGGGGGTTTGATATACATTAGGAAAGGAGGACTTCAGTCATCCCCTGTGGCAGTGGGCCCAAATGTCATACTGAAAAAAGATCCAAAGTCTGAGAGAGGGAGTGTCGATGTTACTGAAGACAGTAGGGACAACTCTGCTGACAGTGGAGACAAATCCAATGAAAAACCTGTGATAGAAGCGGTAAGTAACAACCCCCTTTGGAATTTAATGAAAGCTAGTTATCAGGCCCTTAACGACTCCAACCCAAATGTGGCAAACCATTGTTGGCTATGCTATGATATTAAACCTCCATTTTATGAAGCAATAGGAACTACCACTCCTGCTAAGCTAACAAACGAATCGAACCCCAGTCAGTGTAAGTGGAAGGATGGGAAAAGGGGGCTCACTATGCAACATGTAACGGGAAAAGGGCAGTGTGTAGGTAAAATACCCAAATCCAGGGAGAAACTTTGTGAGGTGACAGTGTCCCTAGAATCAAAAGCTAAATGGATAATTTCTGCTAATGGGACCAAATGGATTTGTTCCAGGACAGGACTCACCCCTTGTTTGTCCTCAAAGGTGTTTAACGAAAACCGAGAATATTGTGTTCAAGTGACCATTATTCCTAGGGTATTATATCACAATGAGAATTTCATATAGGGAAATTTCATAATCATAGGGAAAAAGGAGAACACCATTTACAGAAAAGAGAACCTTTTACAGCTCTCACTATAGCAACTCTAATGACTGTAGGAGTTGTGGGAGCAGGCACAGGCATCACTTCTCTGGTACAGCAAAATCAAAGGTTCCAATCATTACGAGAGGCTGTGGATGAGTATTTAGCAAGAATCGAAAAGTCTATAACAGCCCTGGAAAAATCTTTAAGATCATTATCGGAACAAGTATTACAGAATCGATGAGGACTTGATGTATTATTCTTGCAACAAGGAGATCTGTGTGCAGCCATAGGAAAAGAATGCTGTTTTTATGCTGACCACACCGGGGTAGTAAGAGATTCCATGACCAAATTAAGGGAACGATTGGAAAAGCAAAAAAAAAAGAGAGAACAACAGCAGAACTGGTATGAGTCATGGTTCAACCGTTCCCCATGGCTTACTACATTATGATCAACAATAGCTGGTCCTTTGATTTTGTTGATGTTAGTTCTAACCTTTGGACCCTGTATTTTTAATAAAACAATTGCCCTAGTAAAAAGCAGACTTGAAGCAGCACATTTAACGTTGATCAGAAAACAATAGGAACAATTAGAGGAGGAGGAGGTCAATGAGACCCTTATCCTTGAGTTGGCTCGGAAAGCCGTTAATCGATTTGATGAACAAAATGGGTGTCACGGAGTTGACCAGATCAATCTATGTCTGTGACAGGGGTGACAGGCTTCTGCCCTGCCCCCCACCCCAGTCCCACAAAAAATGGGAAGGAAGGAAGGGAGGAAAAAGCAGCGGCAACGGCACAATCTATGGAGGAAAACTTATTTTACTCTAATATCGGAATACCAGATAACACAATATATACAATTTAGTTGAAATTGAGATTAATAAATCAGACAAGATGAGAGAGAGAGTTCCTGGGACTGAGTCAAACCTGAAAAGCTTGGAACGGCTAGGAAAGCACCTCCAGCACCCACTGCCAGGCAACAAGAGAGCGCCCCCCCCACCCGGAAGGGCCAGATCCCGTGACTGCTGTAATGTACAGGGATAGGTACCTGGGATTGGGGCAGTGACACTTTAATGCCCCGTAAACTACATGATGTTTTGATGTGGAATACTGAAACCATAAAAAAACAAAAACAAAAACATAGAACCATGACAATGGGAAAAAGCAAAGGGGGGAATTGTAATAGGAGCAATCTGTTGTTTGTTAATCAAATTATTTGTAAGCTTATCACTAGTAAACTGTAACAACAGCAGGGGCCAGTTTCCTACTACAGACATCCAGAAACACCAACAAACACAGCAGTTTTAGGTACGGACCCCAGGACTTACACAGCTTTAAAGATGCTGCGTAAGGATTACAAATGGATGTATTGCAAAGATCCCAGGCCTCCCCATCGGACAAGACGAAGGACGGCTGCCTCACAACAGGACCACGCCTGCGCAAGAGATATTGTGAAGCCACGAACACAGGCTAGTGAACTGTATAAAGACTGTCAGCTGGAAAGGGAAAGCGCGTGCCATTGGTGGAGCAGAGACTCCCCGGCCGCCCAGCGCTGTTTTGCTTACTTGCTTGCTTTAATAAAAGACGATTTCCAGAATATATAATTGGGTTGTTCAATTTGTTTGGCATAATATAAAACAAGCTGATAAACAATGTCCCAAACTGGACTAGGGTGGGCTTCTTTAATAGCTTGCTTGTTTCCTTTCTTTTGTTTTTTGTTTTTTTGTTTTTCTTCTCAAGAACAGGATCAGAAGAGGATGTGTAGACCCTCCCTGCCATAGGGATACAGTCCCTTTGGATGCGTTACTGAACCACGGCATTCTGGAAAGCCTTGATGTGAGCACAGGAAATACTTTTGGTCATGTGTACAGCTGGGTTATCAGCAGAAAGGAAAGAGATGCTGCTGTGATCACAGCAAAGTTCAGAGGAACATCCTGTTGGAAATAATCCAAGTAATTTTGTCAGGACAGTATCTCTGATAAAAGCAGAATTTATTCACCATTGCAATGGCGGCGTCCCGCAAGCAGGAGCGCGCCTATGGACACAACATGACAGCCTTTATACCCTGTTTTCTCCCCCTTGCCTCCCCCCCTCCCCTGTTTCCCCACTGGCTGGGTACTCCAGGTTCACAATCTTATCAGAAGGTTTACATTTGCTATTTACTTGTTAATTTATTTGTTATCTGGTGCCAGTCAGTAGTCATCCTGTTGTTTCCAAGATGTCTTGGTGCTCTCCTTGTCCTGCTGATATGGTGATTTTCTTTAGAGTCATCATGGTTAAACAAAGAGCACTGGGGGATGATGTCAGTCCTTTACAATGTCTCTTCAGGCGCTTCCTCGAGCATGCCACGACTTGTTCTCTGGTTTGCTCTCGTGCAGGATATTCTTGCAGTGTGTATGACAAAATATACATATATACACCTATATACAGAGTGTGCGTTTCCAGAGAAGGTTGGTCTATACCATAAGTGATGTAAACTTATCAGAGATCTTCCCCAGGTTAAGTAGGACTCCCAAAAAGAACTATGATAGCGGAGATCATAAAATAAAAATAATATTATACAATTCTAATGCAGAAACAACGCTTGATTCCCACAGTCCCCTGCAGAAAGATGTGTAGAGTTTAAACATTGCCACGTGAAACTTGGAGCCCACTTTTGCCCCACAGAAAATGCAATAGAACTGGAAGCAGCCTTTCCCGGGCACAAACCCCCGGTTACCACGAGGGCGGTTCCTTCTGGGTGGCCTTAAAGTCTGTAGATCCACAGCAGCGAACAGCAGAGCCGGCCCTCGTACAGCAGAGAGCTTAACCATGCTCATGCCTTGCAGGGAAGACCGAATTGGAAAAGTAGGAAAGGAAGTTGTTAGCAATAGCACTCACTTGCTCAGTGAGTAGAAACGTGACATCAGTGCCACGGGCAGCGCTCAGTGAGGAAGTGACCCAGCTGCAGGGAGATGCTGCCCTCGAGAGCAGGGCAGCCGGAGATTGCCTCTTGCTGGGAGCTGCTCACGGGTGAGAGGAGTTAAAGGAACGGCAGGGCAGCAACGTGGGGATGTGTGACCACAAGGATGTGCGAATGTCCCCAGCAAAGGAAGCAAAGAGAGCCAGCAGAAAGTGATGCTTCATTAGCATAACAAAACGCAGCCCCCATTCCTGCCCCCCTCCCCCAGGTGCAGATGTGCCATGAGAACGAGCTGTGAAACTGCCCAAGGCCCGGCAGCCGGCTTGGGGCGTGCTCGCTGTGGGAATTGCTGCCTGCACCTGAGGCTGTGCCGAAGCGGCCAGAGCCTGGCCGGAAGCCGTCCGGGCAGCACGGCGGTGGCAGGAGGAGCAGCGAGGCCGTGCTGCGGCCAGCTCCGGGCTGAGGGCACTCGGCAGCCTCTGCTCTCCGCGACTCCCAGGAGCCCGGTTGCCTGCACCAGAGGCGGGAGCAACCTGCTCCGCACCCAAGGTAGGAGCCCTTCGCGGTTCGTGCATAGGAGCGCACGCTTCCTGCCCCCTGCCAGCAGCAGCGGGAGGGGAACGGGGAGCGTCACCAGGCGGGGCGGAACCGGCACTGCTGTAGCCCAGGCGGGAGCCCGGTCCCGGCTCCAGCTCCTGCCCTGCATAGCACGTTTGCTGGGCCAGACGAGCTACAACGAGGCGAGCAGCGATTCCCAGGCGTGTTGCAGCCCGGCTAGGGCTCCGAGGGGCACAAGCAAGGGTTGGAGCTGGGACAGACAGCATGTGAGCAGAGGGGCTGAGTGTGCTCTGCTGCCCGGTTGCCTTTCTATAATACTGCCCAGCTGGGACCATGTTTCTCCTTGTGGACCACAGGAGACACAAGATGACCTCGCTCTGCAGCTCTGCAGGCGTGGATTCATGAATACAAGCCTCCTTTTGAGTGTCGGAACGTGAAGCCTCCAAGGGGGGAACTTCCACTCCCCTTTCCCTTCCCGGGCACCCCGCAGTTTCCCTTCGGGGACCCAGCAGGTAACATCTGCCTCTAGCGGCCCTTGCAGCGTTACCTTTTGTGCGCTTAGCGCTGGGCTGATGGCTCAGCTGGAGCTATGCACACCCCTCCCAAGGCTTTTGTTCAGGCTGTCCCGGCAGCTGCAGGTGCCTTCAGCGCACAGCTGCGGGCACTGAGCACGTCCAGCATCTGAGCCAGCCCCGACACTGGGCTTTGTAATAGACGCTGAAAAGCTGAGAGCGTGTGGGCTGACTGGAGCACACGTTGAGAACGCGCCCGAGCAGCACGTCAGTAAAGTGCAGCCCAGGCTGCCTCGTGCAAAGGGCGCACGGTGCTGAGAACCGTGCCCTGAAGTGAGCGCGGTGTGCGTGCGGAGCTGAATGGGAAGCGGCGCCCCCTGGTGGGAGAGCATGGAGATGCCGCAGTCGAGGCAATGTTTCTGCAATGAGGGATTTGGGTTTCTTTTATCTTAGAGAGCAGAAAGCATTGGGGAGACCTCCTAGTGGCCTTCCAGGACTTGAAGGAAACTTATAAACTGGAGGGGAACGACTGTTTACAAGCGTGGATATAGCAGTGGAACATGGGGAATGGTTTTAATTGAGACAGAGGAGATTATTTTAGATATCAGAAGAAATTATTTCACTCTCTGAGTGGGTGGTGAGGCACAAGAACAGGTTGCCCATAGAGGATGTGGATGCCCCATCCTTTGGGCCGTTGGGATGTGGCTCAGAAGACTGGTCTGCTGGACGGTGTCTGTGCACATAGCAGTTTCTTGAAACTAGGTGGTCATTGTGGTCCTTTTCAACCCCGGGTATTCTCTGATGCTGTGATTACCTTCAGATAATCGCTCTAACAAAGCACCTTAGAGAAGCTCACAAAGCTCCAACTAACCATGAGTCTCTTACAGAAGATCTGTGTCAGCAAGGTGTCTTGACATGATGCTAAGTGGGATCTCTGTACAGGTGTGAAATTGAGACCCATCCCTGACTGTGGGGAGATCCTGTCGTGCAGCCCTGGCTGTGCAGGAGAGCTCAAGGGGCGCTTGGGCTGCTCCCTGTTTAGGGGTAAGATGACTGCCTCCTTGCTATGCATTGTCTTTAGGCACACAGTCCATGTACCCTCACCTGTTGAACCGGGTGTCAGTTCTTTGTGCCACCCAGTTGGAGTCAGCTTTGTGATTTGTAATCAGCTTCAGCCAGAGCGTTACCAGTGCTGTTGCTGCTTGTGTTCCTGTGCAAGGCCTGCTGTGCCATCCCCCAGGCAGTGCCCTGCAGATGGGCTGTGGAGGGCTGGGCTGGGACAGGGACTGCTGCGTTCCCTCACAGCTCCCCTGCCATTTCTCTTGTCCCTGCAGGCTCCAGTTCAACTTCTGCCTTCCAGCCGTGATCATCTCAGCTGCAGGAGAGCAGCAGATGGCCACAGCACATGCATCTCAGGTAGGGGCTGGGGGAAGCGGGCAGGAGAGGCCGAGGGGCGAGGGATGTGAATGCAGGGTGAGAGGGAGGTGGCCTTAGCCAGCGTGTGTGTGCTGGGGCCAGAGAAGCGGCTGGGACGGGAGTTTGTGTCCTGTGTGAGCTGCTTCCCTGGGCCTTGGCTGTTCCCAGCAAGGAGCCTCTTTACTTGCAGGAGCCCGTGAGCTTTGCGGAGGTGGCCGTGTCTTTCAGCAGGGAGGAGTGGGCGCTGCTGGACCCTGCGCAGCGAGCGCTGTACCGGGACGTGATGCTGGAGACGTACCAGTGCGTGGCCTCGCTGGGTGAGGGCTTTGCTGCCTTTCCTCCTCGTTAGGGCGCCTTTGGCTGTGCAGAATGAGCCTCTGCAGGCCCTGCCTAGCATAATTGCCATGCAGTTACATATTGATAACAGCAACAGCAAAAAAGGAAAGACTGAGAAGCATGAATATCAGGAGGGATTAGTATGCACAGCAGACTCACAAGCGCCCCAGAGTCAGTGCTGGCAAGCAGGCATCAGCTAGGAGAGAGAAAACCAGCCCTTCTATTTGTGTTTTACATCGTGCCACCAGCTCCAGCTAACAGATGACTCCCTGTTTACTCCTTTACAATGTAGGGTTTTGCACTCAGTTGCCATAAACATTTTGATGCCTTGGTCATTGATATTTGTCAGAAAATGAACAAACTGTTCTCAAGTTAATGTTAAGGAAAAAAATCCCTTTGGAGTTTTCAGAGTTGTATAAGGACTCTTTGCTCCAAAGGAAGCTGTAGGCTCAGTGTCATTCAGGCTGAAATTGAGATTTCTCCCTGGGGAGGGGACAGAGTCGAGGTGTTGAACAGGCACTGTGCCAGAATGAAGGAATTGTTCTCATCTGCCCTGTTTCTCTCATTGAAGCTCCACTTCCAGCCCCCAAACCTATGGTGATCTCCCTGCTTGAAGGAGGGGAAGAGACCTGGATCCCAGATGTGTGTAGCCCTGAGGCTGTGCCAGGAGACCTCAGCCCAGGTGAGGTGGTAGAGAGAAAGAGAGGGTTGGGACTGGAAGAGCCATCTCTGTCTGTGTTTTATTTTGGGCACTGTATGCTATTTCTGGATTTCTTGTCATCCAGCAGGAACTGGGATTGCAGATATGCTGGAGGACCTGCAGGAAAGTGGTGTGGCCGAAAGGCGGTGGGGTGGTGTCTGTGTGGAAGAAATCAGAAGGGATGTCCAAGGAGGCCTGGAGCAAGGTCAGGGTGAGCAGCTCATGGAGCCACTGGGAAAGGGTCTGGGAAAGACAGGAAGGAGCCCATTGGACTTCAGCATAGGTCAAAAGGAGCCTGAGGAACCCAGGAGCAAGGATGTGTGCCAGAAGAAAAAGCAGAATCCATGCACTGAGTGTGGAAATGGCTTTGAAAAAGATTCCAGCATCATTAACCACCAGAGCATTCGCTCATCGATGAGCCCAAGCAAGTTTTCTGGGTGTGCAAAGAGCTTCAAGAGCTGTTCAGCATTGAAGCTGCACAAGCGCAGACACACGGGACAGAGGCCATTTCAGTGTCCTGAGTGTGGGAAGAGCTTCAGAAGCAGTTCTGAATTGAAGCTGCACCAGCGCTTCCACACAGGGAAGAGACCCTACGAGTGCTCTGAGTGTGGGAAGAGCTTCACAATCAGTTCTAATTTGAAGAGGCACCAGCGCATCCACACAGGGGAGAGACTCTACAAATGTCCTGAGTGTGAGAAGAGCTTCAGAAGCAGTTCTGAAATGAAGTCGCACCATCGCATCCACGCAGGTGAAAAACCATACAAGTGCTGTGAGTGTGGGAAGAGCTTCACCATAAGTTCTGATTTAAACAGGCACCATCTCATCCACACAGGGGAGAGACCCTACAAGTGCTCTGAGTGTGAGAAGAGCTTCAGAAGTCGTTCTGAATTGAAGTCGCACCACCTCATCCACACAGATGAAAAACCATACAAGTGCTCTGAGTGTGGGAAGGGCTTCAAGAGGTGTTTTGAATTGAAGCTGCACGAGCGCACACACACAGGAGAGAAACCATTTCAGTGTCCTGAGTGTGGGAAGAGCTTCACAAACCATTCTGATTTAAAGAGGCACCAACGCATCCACACAGGGGAGAAACCTTACAAATGTCCTGAGTGTGGGAGGAGCTTCAGAAGCAGTTCCCACCTAACCTACCACAAGCGCTTTCACACAGGAGAGAGACCCTATAAGTGTCCTGAGTGTGGGAAGAGCTTCAAAAGCAGTTCTGAATTGAAGCACCACAAGGGCATCCACACAGGAGAGAGACCTTTTCAGTGTCCTGAGTGTGATAAGAGCTATAAAAGAAGGTCTAATCTCAACACCCACAAGCACATCCACAGCGCGTGCAGGCTGTAGAACAATCACAAGATACGGGGAGCCTTCAAAAGCAGTTCCAGCCTCATTACCTACCAACACAGCCACACAAGATACAGAGCCTGCAGAGCTCCAAAGGTGGGAAGAGCTACAGCCAGAGCCCCAGCATGATGACCACCTGTGGCTTTGTGTGGTGATGAACCTTACAAATCTCTTGAGTAGAGGAAGAGCTCTGTGGCCAAACTCAATCCTCTTTCTCCTTCGTTGCATGAGAATAACGCATATTGCTGTCCTTCAGCTGCAGTTTCTGTGTTGAGTGGCCATGCAAAGGAGAATCCAGAGTGGGATGTGTCACAGCCATATATGGGAAGAGCTTTTGCTAGGGGATCCTCTCAGAGCAATGACCCTAGAAATGCCTGCACTGCAGGAAGAGAGCTCATCCCAAGCTCAGTCATCATTAAACATTGTCCAGTCCTTGTGATAAAGAGGTCCTGCAAGTGTCTCTGGTGCAGGAAGTTTTTCTCTGGTCTAGCAACTCCTTTCCCATGGGGAAACCCCCTAAAGAGATACCTTAAGAGTTTTGGTGAGCCCAAGGATGAGGGAGACCCAGATGCTTCTCCCCACTCGGGAGGAGTTTGCAAAGGAGATGGCATCACTGGCACCCTCTGCAGAATGGATTTAACCCAGGAGCTTCAGATGGCCTCTCCTTGCTACCCAAATCCTGCTTTCCTCTTCTGCTCTTCCTGCCAGCAGCTTTTTGACGCCATTTCCTAAGGAGACGCATCTGTGTAGGGATGTTCTGTGTGTCTGTGTGCATGTGTTGCTCTCAGTAATTTGTGAGTGCGCTGATGAATCTGAGAGAAGGGTCAGGAGAGCAGTAACGCGGCTCTTGGAGGTTTTCTGAGAATCATCTGTAGTAGAAAGGGAAGGGTGTGAATAAAGTAGCTGAGTTTTACTGAAGCTTTCTTCACTGTCGTCTTGTTTTTTGTTCCTAAAATAGATATCTGCAAGTGGAATGAGGAGAGGGAAAGGTGCAATCAGGATTTGGTTTTGGTGCCTCCTCCAACCCACTGCTTGCTTTTGGAAAGGCATTTCCCAACCAGGAGGGAGAAAAACAGGCCTTCTATTGGTGTCTAATGGCCTATTGTTTACAAGTCTTGTGTCTTTTCTTTCTTTTCCTTTCTGCTGTCACACTCACCACCTGAAAGTCAGTGCACCCATTTTTGCCAGTCAGGAAACTGCCTGTTTGCAGGGCAGTATCTGTGTGCATGCTTATCTTTGCAGGTATCATCATGGAATCACAGAATTGTAGGAGTTTCTTCACAAGGAGAGTGGTTAGGCCCTGGAACGGGCTGCCCAGGGAGGTTGTGGATGCCCCGTCCTTGGACGTGTTCAAGGCCAGGTTGGACGGGGTCCTGGGCAACCTGATCTGAATGTGTGTGTTTGGTGGCCCTGCTAGGCAGGGGGGTTGGAACTACATGCTCCTTGAGGTCCCTTCCAACCCGGGTGATTCTGTGATTCTGAGTTGGAAGGGACTTCTAAAGATCATCGAGTCCAACCCCCTTGCCAAAGCAGGTTCCCTGCATCAGGTCGCACAGGTAGGCATCAAGGCGAGTCTTATACATCTCCAGAGAAGGAGACTCCACAACCCCCCTGGGCAGCCTGTTCCAGTGCTCCGTCACCTCACCTAAAAAAATTCTTGCGCACATTAGTGCAGAACTTCCTATGCTGCAGCTTATGTCCATTTCCCCTTGTCGTGTCTCCACGTACCACTGAAAAGAGACTGGCCTCACCACTATGCCCCCACAGGTATTTATAAACCTAGATTAGATCCCCACTCAGTCATCTTTTTTCAAGGATAAACAGACCCAGCTCACTCAGCTTTTCTTCACAGGAGAGATGCTCCGGCCCTTCACCATCTTTGTGACCCTCTGCTGGATTCTTTCCAAAGGTCCCTCTCTATTTTGTACTGGGGAGCTCAGAACTGGACACAGTACTCCAGATGAGGCCTTACCAGGGCAGAGTAGAGGGGGAGGATCACCTCCCTCGACCTACTGGCCATGCTCTTTTTAATGCACCCCAGGATGCCATTGGCCTTTTTGGCCATGAGGGCACACTGCTGGCTCATATCTGACCTGTTGTCCACCAGGACACCCAGGTCCCTCTCTGCAGAGCTCCTCTCCAGCAGCTCATCCCCCAGCCTGTACCAGTGCATGCAATTATTCCTCTCTAGATGTAAGACTCTACACGTGCTTTTGTTGAACCTCATCAGGTTTCTTACTGTTCAGCTCTCCAGCCTGTCCAGGTCTCACTGAATGGCAGCACAGCCTTCAGGCGAGTCAGTAAACAGACTTTCTGATATGAAAGCTTGAATGGGATGAAGAAAGCTAACGCTCATTCTGTACACTGAGTGAGGTAAGGCTGATGGAACACGAGGATGCTGCTCACAATCCTACTCATCTCCAAAGCTGCAGTACAGCAGTCTCAGTGATGTGTCAACATAGACAGCTCCTCTCCCATTTCTCCAGTCATCCCTACCCTAAGGGCAGGAAAATGAACACAGGACAGAAAGTTCCTTGTTGGGTTGTCCTTGAAAAGTCCCCTCTAAATACCCCTAAATACGGCAACTCCTTTTTTGGACAGTGCTCCTGGAAAACTTTGTCTGCAACACTGAGACCTCCCTCATGAACAGTACAAGTCTTGAAGACTTGAGGGAAATGCCTTGTTAGGTCTTTCTGCACTGTAATGAGCCCCACAGCAAATGTGGTGTCCATGAACTTCAGGTACTGAGGAGAACACGGCTGCAACCAAATGATGAAGGTGTAGTCAAAATGCTGTCTAGAAATGCTGGAGAGTGTTGGAGTATTAATTGGTCCCTGTGTGCCATTACCAGCAAAGCATCTCCACATCCATGTTAGAGCAGATAATTGGAGGCCGTGATTCCCGGCAGGCAAAGGCCCTGTGCAGGTGCTTTGAGATCGAGGCAAGCCCTTGGTTTGTCTGATGCAACAGAAGGGTAGGGCCATAGCTGCAGCCTCTGGGAAGGGTGGTCCTGTCCCTCACTGATGTCCCAAGGCTCTCCCACAGTCAGTGGGATGTGAATCATAGAATCATAGAATTGCAAGGTTGAAAATAACCTGCTAGATCATCCAGTTCAACCATCCTCCTATTACCACTGCAACTACAAGCCCCTAAGCCATATCTCATAGCCACTCATCCAGATGCCTCTTGAGCACTGCCAGGGGTGACGACTCCACCTCTTCCTGGGCAGCCATTCCATTGTCTGACCACTCTCTGAGGGAAAAAGTTCTCCCTTACGTCTAACCGAAACCTCCTCTGGTACAACTTGCAGCCATTTCCTTGGGTCCTGTTTGTTGCCTGGGAAAAGAGGCCAAAGTTTGAGAGTGCAATGAGGTCTCCTCTGCGCCTCCTCCAGACTGAACAATTCCAGCTCCCTCAGCCACTCCTCATAGGATTTGTGCTCCAGACCCCTCACCAGTTTTGTTGCCCTTCTCTGGACGTGTTACAGGTCCTCAAAGTCTTTCTTGTAGTGAGGGGCCCAAAACTGAACACAATATTTGAGGTGCAGCCTCACCAGTGCTGAATAGAGGGAGAGGATGACCTCCCTGCTCCTGCTGGTCACACTATTTCTAATGCAGGCCAGGATGCCGTTG